TTAGTGTTTGACAGAAGTCATTATTTCTACTTCTCAGATGAAGAAAAAGAGACATGATCAAGTCTGTACTGAACTGGAACTTTAAACCCTCAACTGCATTTCACAATACAATTTTGAAAAACTAGACATTTCTTAGGAATATAATCACTTAAGTAGGGCTTAGAAATAGAATCTATCTTATGGGAAATAAAATGAAGTGTCCTTCAGGAAAATTTGGTTATTATCATGGCTTCAAGACCTTAAGGCATAAAGGTAAGACCATGATGATAACTAAGTCTTCTCTTGAAGGGTGCTCTTTGTCTCATTTTCTCATATTGTAGGTTCCCTTCCTAAGTACTACTTAAGTGATTTATAAAGAAATATCAGCCTACATTTTTAAACTTGATAAATTCTAACATAGATATTCTTATCACAGCCATCAAAATTAAATCAAATACACCTTTCATATCACCTACCCATTGTTTCCAAACAATGGAAAAAGAAATTAGCATGTACTAGATTTCACTATAATAAAAACTAATTATTTTAAAATGCTCTTGATTAATTTCTTAACTCTATTATGAAGACACTGTTAAGTGTTTTGAAATGTTAAGTAATTTTCCTCAAAGGTCTCAAACCATGGTGACAGTAGTTAAACCCTAGTGCCTTTTTTTTTTCCTCTTAGAACCACTCAATCTTTTAATGTCTCACATATATATGCCCCAAAACACTCAAACATTCTTCCCTGTTACTCACATTTCTAGAGCAACAGATTGTTAAGTGCTGATCATTTATTCCATAAAGACCAACTTCAGATATACTCTGATTATACACTTAGGATGCAACTACTTGCAAAAATCAATCCTTTCTTCATTCAGGACTCCTAACCCCAAGGTACTATTACAAAAGTAACTGGTCAAACAACTCATGATGCTCCCCCACTGTGCTTACTTTCAGATTAATCTGTACCTTCATAAAATAAACTTAAGGGTTGATCCAAATATTAAAGTACTACTAAGAATTCATTTTAAGTGACATTTCCACACTTTAAGACAGATTAAGAAAAATCATCAAATGTTGTTTTTTTTTTTTAATTGCTCTACCTAGGATGGCAATGGCAAACCTAAAGACCTTTAAGTGGTAATAGCCAGCTGTGGCATGCATGCCATAGGTTCACCACCACTGATCTAAAAATATTAGAGAAAATGCTATGTCTCAGTCACCGACAGATTATAATAAATAAATGATAATGACAGATAAAATACAGAATAGTTATTCTGAAACAAACTCTGAAAACTCAAAAATTCACGAGTAATATTTAAATTTTTCAAACTCTGATGCTTCTATGGTCTACTGAATTAACGGAATTGAACATCAATTAATTTTGAAAAATCCAATGTATAATAAAATACAATAGAAAAAAATTCTATTTACTATTTTAGAATCCTCTGATGTGCTCTTTTTCAACTGTTCAATTTCATTATCTTTCTGTATATTACTAGAGATCAGTGTTTTCAGCTGTATTTCTAAAGCAGCAACCAACTCATCCCGTTCTTCTCTCCACTTCTGAAGGTCACTATTTTTCTCTGCTAGTTGCGCTGTCAGTACTTCCTAATCAATAAAGAAAATATTACAGTAAACGTTAAAGTGATGAATCTAAGAATATTTACAAATATTACATATAAGACCTCAAATAGAACTATGAACAAGATATGTATTCAAGTACATATAAAGTATTTCCTTATTAAGCAAAGGAAAACACATAATACCATCACATACATACATACCTTAAATGTTCACATGCTATATTTATTTCTATACTACCTCACTAAAAAAAAAAAAAAAAAAAGAGCTTACCGGACATCTTTCAATAAACAATCATAGCTATACCTTTTAAATTAATAGCAGCATTTCCATCAATATTTTGGAAATGAGAGGACAAAATTACAATAACACAAATGGCCAACCTAATAGCAACAATAACAACACCCCCCCCAAAAAAACCAGTATCATTTAGCATGGGTTTAAAAATCATAAAATACTAGTAAATTTAAAAAGATAAATATAAAATTTTGAAAAGCTACAAAACACTGCTGAAAGATTAAACAGTAACACCTAAATAAATAGAAATAATTTATATTCAATGAGCAAATGACTCAACATTATTAAGATATCATTTCTCGGAAATAATCTATAGAGTCAAGGCAATTATCATCAAAACTCAGGAACATGTGCATGTGTACAGGTGTAGAAAAGCTAATTAACAGTTATACAGAAAAGCAAATGTTTAAAATAGCTGAATTTTGAAAATGAAGAACAAAGTTACAGCAATCAACATTTAATAATCAAGATAGTGTGAACAGAGTATAAAGATAAAGAAATCAATGAAGCAGAAGAGGGTCCACAAATGTATGGTCAATTAACAGTCTACAATGTGTCAAAGAAATTCTATGAAGAAAAGACAATCTTTTTAACAAATGGTGCTAAAAGAACTGAATAATCAAATTTAAAAAATTAATTCCAACTCTAATTGTACACCATATATAAAAGGATTCATTGGACAAATGAATTAAGAGAAAAGCGACAGAGCAGTGGGAAAATATAGTCTCTTCAATAAGTATGAGGTCAGTCCATAATTCACATCAAAACAAACACAAGGTAACATACACTATCATCAAGGGAATTCTATTCTTATATACATATGCAACAGAAATATATGCACATGTGCACCAAGAAAAATATAAAAAAAGTATATGGTGAACTTAGTAATGAAAAAACACAGAAAACCCAAATATCTTCAGTATTGCAATGTATGAATGGTGGTATATTCAGACACTGAAATAGTCGGCAAAGAAATCAGACTAACTTTGGCTACATGCAACATGGATAACTCACAAAAACAATACTGAATCAAAGAAGTCAGACACAAACAAATGCATTTCTATTTATATAATTAAAAAATGGATAAAACTAAAACATAATTTAAAAGACAATGGTTTCTGGTGTAATGATTATAAGGAAACATGGGACAGAAAAACAAGCCAGCTTTCTCTAGCACTTAAAATTCACAGCAAACCAGGTACAGTGGTATGTCCATAATCCCAGGTCCCTAAGATCCGAAGTAGGAGGACTGCTTAAGCCCTGAAGCTGAAGTCCAGCCTAGGTGACAGAGGGGATGGGAGGAAAGGGAGGGAGGGAGGCAGGGAGAGAGACACACATAGACAGAAAGACACAGAGACACAGAGAGAAAATATTAATTCAAATGGGTATACTTGTTGACACTGCTTCCAGAGGAGAAAATGACTAGGAAAAAGGTGGCTGCTTTCCTGTTTTAGAATGGATGCTACCATGACAGCCAACAGTTTTTTTACTTCTTGCCTCTTACTAAAGGCCAGGATGGTTCAATGGACTCTGAGACAGAAACAAAAAGCCAAAAGCAACCCCTGCAGTATCAGAATTCTAGTCAACTCAATACCTCCTTCCTATAATATAGATCTAGAATATCCCCCAAAGGCCCATATGCTGAGGGTTTGGTTCCCAGATCGGTGCTACTGGGAGATGGTGCAATCTGTAAGATGTGTGGCTAGTGGGAAGTTTTAAGTCACTGGGGACACGCTCTCAAAGGAGACTGGGACCATGATCTTTTGCACTTTCTTTTGCTTCCCTTTGGTGAGGTAAAAGGTTTTCCTCTGACTCATGTTCCCACCGTGACGTGCTATCTACCACAGGACAAAGCAATCAGTCAATAGATCATGGGCTGAAAATTCTGAAACTGCAAACCAAGAGACATCTACAGTTACATGGAGTTGACATATAAAATGAAAAATATTACCATCTCAGAGCTGTAGTATTAGTCTTACAGGATTTGGCACATGAAGAAAATCTACAGTCAATGCTCTATAGAAACATGACAACTAATGGAATGATCTTGGACCTTGATCTTGGACCCAAAGAAAGACATTAGTGAGAAAACTGGTGAATTTTCTGAAAGATTTAAAATAAACTTTATGTGTTGGTTATTAACATAATGTTATATAAGATGCTAATATCTTACATAAAAGGGAAAGTTGGGTGATATAAACATAACAACTTTCTCTACTAGTTTTGTAACTTTTCTGTAAATAAGATGATTTAAAAATAAAAATAATTTTTAAAAAGTAAGAGCAAAGGAAGCTTATTTATACAAAACAACACAAGAGCAGAGCACTCAGAGATATATCCTGTACTTTAAAACAGAACAGAGACTTCAGCCAAGGGCTTGAGATATGACTACACATATCTTTTTTCCAAGGCTACACATACTACGTAATTAAATGCAGCCTTCCCACAGATATACTATTAAGGGCCATGACGGTTATTGCCACACTTTTACTCATCTAGCTATATCCACTGGCCCCAGGACATAGGGCACTGCTCTTGCTTCCTTCCACTTTATTTCAGGGTAAAAACAAAGGACCTACAAAGGAAACAGACTCTTCATCAGTATCTTATACTATCAGAGGTAAAGTGCTATTAGTTTATGAAGGTCACAATATTGAGGGTACTTGGTAGGGAAAAAAATTAGTATGATAAAGAAAAAAGCGTTATTTCTGGAGTAGACTACAGGCATAGTCTAGACTAGAGCTCAGTAAGTGGAAAGTTTTGTTCATAGACTCATTGGCATACACATTAGCCATCTCTATCTAAAATTAAACACTTAGAGTAGCTTTAAATTTAGGGGGAAATCAATGCAAAAATGGGCATCTGAAATAAAAAAGACACTTCTCAGAGAAAGAATTAGAAATGACAAATAAATATATGAAAAAGTGTTCAACATCACTCAGAAAACTTAGAACATAGAAGAATCTGAAAATGAATTGAGATGAGAAAATTATCTTACTAAATCTGCCATTAAAAATTTTTAAGGCAACTATGGACTGCCAAAAATTCCAATAAATGTAACAAAACAAAAGAAAACAAATGAAATAACATCAACAAAATAATTGTCACCAACCACTTCATTTTGTTGCTTGAAACAACGCTCTCTGTCTTCAGCATATTTTTTCATCTCTTTGTTTCGTAGATTTTCAGCTTCTTTTGCTTGAGTGATAAGCATCATTTTTTCTTCTAACCATTTCTTTCTATCAGCTTTATATTTCTGTTCACATTCCTGTAAATGGTACAAGTCATTACTGTATACCTAAGTAGTAAGTAAACCTGTTTTTAACATTTTCATACAATACATCACTATCTACCTTTTTTAAACTATAAAAAGGTGTTTTTAAGTAATGACAAGATCGGAGTTTATTTCAGATTTTAAAAAGAAACATTAGCTGGTTTTGCTTTCCTTTAAACTTTATATTCCTGCAGGTCCACTTAAAGACTTTATCAGTGAGGTTAAGAAGAAATAAAAAGTTTAAATTTTTGGAAGAGCTACTGTCACTCAAGTCTTCCTAAATCAATGTAGGGGGATGACTTGGCCATTTCTAATTGTATGGTTCCTGAAAAAAAAAATTACTGTATCCTGGATATGAAATAGAGAATAACTAGTGCACTAGGGCATTTATTAAAGAAACATTGAGAACAGCAGGACAAAGATTATACTAAATCAGTGATTTTCAAGATGATTTATAGATCTTTCCAGCTCACAGGCATCTAATTTTATAATTTCAAAATCCAACTAGAACACCATTTAAAACAAAAACTATACTTTTACTCTAAAAAGATCTAATACCACTCTTAGATGAACTACAGCCATTCGTTCTAGGCTTAGAATTTGCAAAAAAGATATGTGATTACATCGTCTCAGAATAAAGCAAAATACACTGACACTTCTTAATGTACACATTCTGGATATTGTAGATATATATTATTTTTCATAATAAATGGCATACTTGATAAATCCCATGAAAAAACATTTTCCCATGTTATTTTCTACATGTAGCACACTAAAACTAGAATAAAAAAAAAAATATATATATATATATACATACAAAACAGAATATGTTCTATATAATGTGGTTTCATTGGACACATACACAACTCCATTCCAATTTAATAATTAAACCTTGAGAAGATGAAAACCAATCAAAGTAATTCACTTATCACCTTCTTCATAACAGTATTTAGTAAATTCAAAATTTAAGTAGAAAAGTTGGTACAAATATATTAGAAATTATAAAATTAAATGCATCAAATATAAACCAAGGCCCCAGTCACTCCATTATCACTGGTACTTAATAGCTTTTATTATGAAAATTTTTCCTCATTTCACTTCAGTGTGCACTGAAAAAGCACATCTACATGTATTCCCTTATTGAAAATATGATAGAAAGATAAAATCATACCTGCAAATCGTCTTGAAGTTTACTAAGCTTTCTATGAAGTATGTCTGTGTCATCCTCAAATTTTCTATTTGACTTACAATTATTTTTGGTTTCCAGATCTTTGCATTTTTCCTTCCATTTTTTCAATTCTGATTTGAATAAACAAAATTAGTTTTAAAAGCACATGCAAAAATTATATCATGAAGAGATATATCTGACATGAAATATGGGGAAAAATAAGAATGACTCAGAATATAGATCAAAATGGAATTGGAACTATTTCAAAAGCTGTATTTTTAAGAGTTCTTACCAAATTTTTAGTGAACAAGAACTACAGAGGCTTTTTAGAAATTGAC